CTTGACTGTGTTCGTCGGCAGCACCTCAGTATAACATCGGCTTTCACGATATTTCATTTCCGCGTTGCTGAGGCGGATAAAATCGCTCCACTACAACCCCCTCCCATCTGCTGTTGGGCACGGGGGCACCAGTCGAACAGTCCTGCATCCGGCCCCACAAACCCGAACGATGTCCCAGCCTTCCAAAAAATGTGATTGTCCAATAAAAAGTTGAAATTTTCCATAAGGAAAAGTCTAACCCTCTTCGGAGCCGCTGCAGTGGCGCGTTCTCAGCACGTTTCTGTCCCGTGTGGGGCGCTCTTCCCAGCGTTACAGATTTTCGAGGCCAGAAGAAACCTTTAGATGGGCAATAACACAGGGGCGGTGTGTCAGGGTTAGCCACTAGTGGGCCGCCGCCATTACGTTTGCTTGCACATCTGCAGGTACCAGCCGTCACAGCTCCCATTGGCCATGGATTGCCGCTCCTGGCCAATGGGAGAGTCAGGGAGCAGAGCAGATCGGGACAACACTTCCTAGAGCTCCCATTGGCCGGGAATGGCACTCGTCGACCAATGGGAGCTGCGATTGCCAGGTAAATATACCAGGAGCTGACCAGATCTGGTCCACGGGGTGGTAGTTGCCCACCCTACTTTAGATCATCCAATCTGACCTGGCTGTTAAACACTGAGCTGTGAATTACACCCAGTTGCCCTGTGTTGAACCCAGGAGCTCGTGTTTCACTAAAATACGCCTTCCAGGGAGGCATCAAGCCATGGAAACGTCACTTCTCTCAGGAGTCAATCCCAATGGTTAACCACACTCACCGTTAAAACGTTTGTGCCTCGTTTCTAATCTTCCGCCCATTGGGTCTTGTCCTGCCTGTCTGCACTGGATTCTACAGCCCTTTCTTGTCTCATGTTGACCACCCAGTAAGATACTATTACACTGTAATCTGGGGATACTGTTCTGGTAAAGTCGGGGAGTGGTGAGATCGGGACAACACATCCTGCAGCTCCCATTGGCCGGGAATGGCACTCATCCACCAATGAGAGCTGCAATCACCAGGTAAATATAACAGTGGGGGATACTATTCTGGTATCCCTAGATGGCCACGTTCCTGTGTCTAGTGCGGAGGTCGTGGACGTTGGAGGCTTCCCCCCAAACCTGGATGAGGTCCACGATCTCTGCACTAGACCAGGCGGCCGGAAAAGCAATTTTGGAAAACCGAACGCGCTCCTTCGCCAACCCTGTAAATCTCATTCTATGAGGAAAAAGGGATGTGTCAAAAGAGCAGGTTTTTCTGAAATGTGGTACCATGTAGATGGGCCAAATTTTGGAAAAACCTCAATAGAAAAGGGGGAAAAGACACACAAATTGCGATTCACAATTTGCAGAACTTTTCCTGACTTACCTTAGTAGTCTAGACCAGGGCTACTCAACTTGGGAAGCCCCGGGGGCCACAAGGATACTCACAGCACATGCCGACGGCTGCAACTTAAGTGGGGATTGCATCTACGTACAAATATACATGCACATATATGCAACTAGCTTCTTTCACACTGACATGAATACAAAGATTAAGGCAACACAACACGCAGGCCCCATTTAAGTCAGTTCTGCTGATATTCATAAAATGCAACCGTTACCCGATTTCTGCCCACATGGCAGCACTTTCAATGATCAATGACAGGCCAGAAATGTAACTACTAAAATGCATATCAACAGAAGACCATTATACAGACTTACTGTTTTGTTTTGGCGCCAGCCGGGTGTTGAGCCCCAAGTAAACCCAAACCGCACCACGGGCTGCAAACAAATGGGCCACATATTGAGTAGCCCTGGTCTAGACATAGCCTGACTCTCCTTTTTTTTCCCAGATCTAAAATCATTCCTGGGATGTGCCTCTGCACTACCTCTGGTTTCCAGTAGGGGTCTCTGCCGGCAAGGCTATACCGGCCATCGCTCTGGCACAGCGATGGCTCCGGCGTGGGTTGCAGGGCCCCTCCTTCCTCTCAGTGGGCTGCACCAAGACAGTCTCCCTGGCTCACTGCACTTGCGTGCCATGGGGCACCCGTGGCACTGTACCAGTCTTGTGGCCGGCTGCAGAGAGTGCGCCTGGCTCTCACAGTCAGCGTGGAGTGCAATCCCTTCCCATGCCCTTCTTTACGTGTGGACCGAATTTGGCGGTCCTCGCTCTTACCGGGTGGGAGGAATACTTGATCACACTGACACACACAGGCAAGACAGACAAACTCTCTAAGGGTATGTCTAGCCTACATCTGTTTGTCGGAAAAAGCGATGCAAAATGCGAAGCGCGTTTTGCATCGCTTTTTCCGACAAACAGATGTAGGCTAGACATACCCTTAGGGTACGTCTACACTACAGCACTAATTCGAAGTAACTTAATTCGAATTAGTTAATTCGAACTAACAGACGTTAGTTTGAATTAACTTTGATAGGCGCTACACAGGCAAACCGCTAGTTCGAACTTAATTCGAACTAGGCCTTAGTCCTCGTGGAATGAGGTTTACCTAGTTCGAATTAAGTTCGAACTAGCGGTTTGCCTGTGTAGCGCCTATCAAAGTTAATTCAAACTAACGTCTGTTAGTTCGAATTAACTAATTCGAATTAAGTTACTTCGAATTAGTGCTGTAGTGTAGACGTACCCTAAGGGTATGTCTAGCCTACATCTGTTTGTCGGAAAAAGCGATGCAAAATGCGAAGCGCGTTTTGCATCGCTTTTTCCGACAAACAGATGTAGGCTAGACATACCCTTAGGGTACGTCTACACTACAGCACTAATTCGAAGTAACTTAATTCGAATTAGTTAATTCGAACTAACAGACGTTAGTTTGAATTAACTTTGATAGGCGCTACACAGGCAAACCGCTAGTTCGAACTTAATTCGAACTAGGCCTTAGTCCTCGTGGAATGAGGTTTACCTAGTTCGAATTAAGTTCGAACTAGCGGTTTGCCTGTGTAGCGCCTATCAAAGTTAATTCAAACTAACGTCTGTTAGTTCGAATTAACTAATTCGAATTAAGTTACTTCGAATTAGTGCTGTAGTGTAGACGTACCCTAAGGGTATGTCTAGCCTACATCTGTTTGTCGGAAAAAGCGATGCAAAATGCGAAGCGCGTTTTGCATCGCTTTTTCCGACAAACAGATGTAGGCTAGACATACCCTTAGGGTACGTCTACACTACAGCACTAATTCGAAGTAACTTAATTCGAATTAGTTAATTCGAACTAACAGACGTTAGTTTGAATTAACTTTGATAGGCGCTACACAGGCAAACCGCTAGTTCGAACTTAATTCGAACTAGGCCTTAGTCCTCGTGGAATGAGGTTTACCTAGTTCGAATTAAGTTCGAACTAGCGGTTTGCCTGTGTAGCGCCTATCAAAGTTAATTCAAACTAACGTCTGTTAGTTCGAATTAACTAATTCGAATTAAGTTACTTCGAATTAGTGCTGTAGTGTAGACGTACCCTAAGGGTATGTCTAGCCTACATCTGTTTGTCGGAAAAAGCGATGCAAAATGCGAAGCGCGTTTTGCATCGCTTTTTCCGACAAACAGATGTAGGCTAGACATACCCTTAGGGTACGTCTACACTACAGCACTAATTCGAAGTAACTTAATTCGAATTAGTTAATTCGAACTAACAGACGTTAGTTTGAATTAACTTTGATAGGCGCTACACAGGCAAACCGCTAGTTCGAACTTAATTCGAACTAGGCCTTAGTCCTCGTGGAATGAGGTTTACCTAGTTCGAATTAAGTTCGAACTAGCGGTTTGCCTGTGTAGCGCCTATCAAAGTTAATTCAAACTAACGTCTGTTAGTTCGAATTAACTAATTCGAATTAAGTTACTTCGAATTAGTGCTGTAGTGTAGACGTACCCTAAGGGTATGTCTAGCCTACATCTGTTTGTCGGAAAAAGCGATGCAAAATGCGAAGCGCGTTTTGCATCGCTTTTTCCGACAAACAGATGTAGGCTAGACATACCCTTAGGGTACGTCTACACTACAGCACTAATTCGAAGTAACTTAATTCGAATTAGTTAATTCGAACTAAGCTAATTCGAACTAGCGCATCTAGACCTAAAAACTAGTTCGAATTAGCTTAGTTCGAATTAACTAATTCGAATTAAGTTACTTCGAATTAGTGCTGTAGTGTAGACGTACCCTAAGGGTATGTCTAGCCTACATCTGTTTGTCGGAAAAAGCGATGCAAAACGCGCTTCGCATTTTGCATCGCTTTTACCGATACTTTTCTTGGAAGCGGCTTTTCTGACATTTGGCCTGTCTAGACTGGGCCAAATGTCGGAGAAAACCTCTCTTTCGAAAGCCCCCTTCTTCCTCGTAGAACGAGGAATACAGGGGCTTCCGAAAGAGCGTGTTTGCTCTTCCACAAAAAAAAGCAGAAGAGCAATGGTGTTCCCTGGATGCAGTGGAGTTTTTTTGGGATACCTCTGGTATCCCGACCCCTCCCCCCGGCAATCTAGCCATACCCTACCACAGTGGTACCCAACATTTTGGGGCTGCCGGGAGTCCGGGGGCAGAGCCGCGCATACACCACGTGTCCAGGGCCAGCACCATGCGTGCGCCACATGCTCAGGGCGCAAGAAAGGGCCGGGCCTGGTCACTTGGTGGGTGCCATGGTGCGTTGGGGTCCACCACCCTAGCATATCCAAAAGGTGACATTACATAGCAAGTCAAAAGGAGGAGACAAGATAGGTGAGGTAATCTTTATTGGACCAACTTTTGCTGGTGTGAGAGACAAGCTTTCAAGCCACACAGATCTCTGTCAGGCTATGCCTACACTGCCGGGGGTTTTTTGGAAGAAAATATGCAAATTGCGCTTGCATTTGCATATTTCCTTCCAATTCTTTTTGCAGAAGAGGATTTTCCGATATTTGGCCCCTGTAGACAGGGCCAAATGTTGGGGAAAAAAAGCCCTCTTTTGCAAGACCCCTTATTCCTCGTAAATCAAGGTTTACAGGGTCTTGCGAAAGAGGGTTTTTTTCCGACATTTGGCCCTGTCTACACGGGGCCAAATTTCTTCCGCAAAAAGAATCAAAAGAAGACATGCAAATGCGAGCGCAATTTGCATATCTTCTTCCCAAAAGAACTGGCAGTGTAGCCACAGCCTCAGGTCTGGGAAAAGCACTCCCAAGTGGCACCATTCAAAGAATCATTTTCGCCCTTCCGAAATTTTGGATTTGGGGGGATTTGGCTGAAACTATTCACTGAATGGGTGGACAAATCGGAGACAGTCCAGAAAGAGAGGAACAAAAGGGATCCATGATCCTCCTCGGATGGATCCTGAGAAACCAAAAACTGGGGGCATCCTGGCTTCCTTGCAAGGATGGTTAACGTCTTCGTTAGAGTTTCAGTTTCTTGTCCAGGATGGAGCTGTAGATCTCAGGGCACATGGGCACAAAACGCTTCTTTGATTCATCCAGGAAGAACAGGGGGTCTTTGATGAGAGCTGGGTTGAAGCCTTCCTTCACTAGCTGCCCTTTGCACTGCTTGAACGTCCCTGTGATCTCCAGTTCGTCCTGTGTAACAAAGCACAAAACAGGTTGCACCAATCGGCTCACTCTACTGGCCACAGCACACAAAAGGGTAAGAGTCTACTATAGTGCCCGGCTTGTGAAGTTGCTCCCCAGATTTCCCTGTAACTGATCAGGAGAGATTCCAATGCTGCTTAGCTGATTAGCAGAGCCCCCCCACAGCTAGGTTTTGTTTCAACGGGTGGTGCACATTCACACATGCCTTGGTGCACATTAAATTATTCCGCACATGGGTGGAAAAATCTGCACGTGCATGGAAAATATTAGAGGGAACATTGGTCTTGCCCCATGGAGGAGGAGAATAACATTACTCAGGGCTTGTCTTCATGACAGACGACAGCTGGTAGAGCAGCGGCTGCAGACCTCTGGAGCAGAAAACGTTCTCCCACCACCGGAACAAGTTACCGAGGTAGGGTGCTGGTGGGTTAAATCTAGTCTGAGAGGATGTTCACCGTTCTTTATACTCGTAAACAGGGGGGTATAAAAATGCAGCTGAGGCGGGTAACTTGGGGACACACTTTCCATGTAAGGTGAATGTAAGCAGGGCTGGATCATTCACTAAATAGCCCCGGTTCTGTTCGTTCCCTCCGTAGTTCCTGGCATTGGTCCCTGACCTGGTATGGCCGTTGCTACGCTTACAACAGGGCATGAGATGGTTTCCCACAGACCGGTAGTGCACCGCGCCTTTGTGGTGTGGTTGGGTGATAGCAGTAAACCAGACTGACACTGGTTATTTCTGGAGTCTTATTTCTTCACAAACCAAAGTGGCGTCAAAACTTTAGCCATGGGCAGTCGGTGCAGCCCAGGCTGGGGTAGGCAGGCCCCCAGCCCTGCCTACAGCCCCGCCCCCTCTGCTGAGGCCCCGCCCACACCACGGGGAAGAGCAGCATGCCGAACACGCAACAGCCACCCCTCCCCTGCCCTCCACGAGGAGGGGAAGAGCAGCAGCAGGAGGGAGGCAGACCCAGCCTGAACCTCCCCAGAGCTGCCTTCCCAGCTGCCCTGGAACCTGCCTGAACCACACTAACAATATTCCACAGCAACCCCATGTGGCCGTTTGAGGCAGGGAGGGGGGGGGGGGGACT